CCCCAAAACCCCAAAACCCCAAAACCCCAAAACCCCAAAACCCCTGATTTAAAGTCCAACATTGCTTTATTATTTATTAATTATCATTTATCTTTCAAAATGAGCAAAGAAAAGACTCTGAATTGGTTCCAAAAGTCTCTCTCGTGCTTGAACTCTTGGGTAAAAGCTACTGATAAGTTTGGTGTGCCAGTCAGTCTCAACTTCAGAGGGGAAGACTCCTTTAAGACAACAATCGGAGGCATTGTCACTTTGATTTCTGTGATCCTCCTTGTGATGTACACTATTTCAGAAATGAGGCAGGTAATCACAAAAGGAAAAACAAGGATTAATAGCAATATTGTTTCCAGAAATTTGCTTGAAAGCAAAGAGACTTATCAAATTGCTAAAGATGGCTTTGTGATAAGTATGGTTGGAAATTCTGAGGAGCTTAATATTCCGGCTTACTTCGAATTCCAATACAACAACAAAATTATTGAGAAAGAGCTTATCGGAGGACCTGAAATTAAAAATGAGGATGTGGAATACTCTACATCTCCTTGTGGAGACAAATTTGATAAATTTATTGACAAAGAGGCTGCTAGAAGACTCAGAGTTCATGAAACATTTTGTCCTAATTCAAGTGATTGGAGAATTGGAGGGTCTCGTACAGGATATCAATTTAGTTATCTCACTGCTACAATTCGAAGATGATCCAACTCTTTGCCTGGATTTTGCAAAAATATTGATGAAATAAATAATAAAATTGGTGAACAAGCTTTTACTGTGGCGACATCTAATTATTACTTCGATATTGATAATTATGAGAGTCCGCTTAACATCACATTTGAAGATGAATTTAGCTTTCCTTTGCTTAACTATATGACTGTCGAGAAAACTCTAAAGGTTAGGATAAATAAAGCATACGATTACACCAGCATCTGGTATCCTTCCGAGCCTAAAGAGTATACGTATTACTCCATAGAGTCTGTAAAAGATTCCCTTCAAGCGGAGAATGGAAGTGGAGACCTTGCCAGAATTAATATAATTTTAGACAAAAACTACAACATTGTTGAGCGAAAAGTCTATACATTTTATGATATGCTTGGACAAGTTGGAGGAGTCATGGGCATTATATACTCTCTTGGCTCTGTTTGAGTGAACATATTTTCTGGAAAAATATATATCATGACATTGCTATCATACTTTTATAAAGTGGAAAGAAGGCCTGATACCCAAAAAGTATCACCCTCTCAGAAAATCAGTTCTATAAAGCTCAATTCTTTTCAAGAAAATTTGAGCAAAAATGAAATTAAAGAAGAAGACAAGTTTGATGATTCGGAATGTAACATCAAAGGCAGGACTTTTGAAGACAGCAACTTAAATAAAATATCTCAGCTTAAACACAAGCTGACTTCGCTGCAATACTATAAATATTCTTGCTGAGATCTGTTCTACTCCATTTTCTGTTGCTCAAAATTTAGACGGAAGAGGTCCGAGGAGACACCTTTGTACAAACAGTATAAAGATTATAGATGAGGAAAAGAGAAGATTACTCGAGAGCTTGACTTGATTTCAATCGTTGACACGATGAGAACAGTTCATGTCCTTTCAAATATTATTCTTGACAAGCATAAATAAAGTTCTTGCTCAACACCAACCAATAAATTTATGATCCTATACCAGGAAGAATGCAAAGTCAGATTATCCTAAAACTGAAGAGAAAACAGATCAAGAGAAGAATATTGAAAGGCAGTTGGAGGAACTTAAAACTTTAGAAGAAGAATTATGGGAAGATCCTATCTCACAGGAACTATATAACGCTATATTCCAAACACATAAAGACTGAAAAACACGAAATATTACCAAAATAAGTCCTTAAGAGCTCAATATCTGAAGATTTCCAGTTACAGAAAGAATCATAAAATCTCTGCACTATTTCACAAATAAATCGTTCCTCCAACTTTATCATCTTGTTCTGATTTTATTTTTAGAAATATTCTTAACTTAAATTCTCATAAATACGCTATTAATGTTTCGAAACTTTAATAAATGAGAGGTTTGAGGTTGAACTTTAAAAGCTTAGAGAGTCCCTCCTCATCGGTCTAGTTGAGTAAATGAGCTTCTTATTAAAAAGTAGCATTAGCTAAAGTCTGACATCAATACTATGACTAGGAATATATTTCAAAAGTCTGGAAGTAGAATTGAGGATTGAAGGGACCTCATCAAGATTGTTTGCTTACTCATTGAAACTGTTTCGATATCCCTAGCCTGTATGTTCACATTTCTAAGTCCTAAACTAGTGCTCGTTTTAATTGTTACTAATGCTGATATTATTTTCCTTACAACACAAAGTTAGACTTTATTAATTATATTCCTCCTCACCATATCTTTTGAGAGTCAAGGGGGTTAAACGATGGCGAGTCCATAATCTATACCATGTAGTTTTTTCATGACATATTTTGCTGATATTTTCCTAAATGTATACCAAATTCAGAGGTCTAATGTTTTGGGGTTTTGGGGTTTTGGGGTTTTGGGG